TCGAATGTGCATAGTAACAACGCTCACTGGTCGGCGGAGGTCGTCGTACGCCGAACATGTGATAGTAACTGGTCTAAACCCAACAATGCACAGACGTGAGTGCATGAGCTTCATACAGCCATGTCGTACTCGCCGGGGCTCCTTTGAATCGCCCGGCCTTTGTCGTCGACCACATTGTGAAAACCACGTGGAATGTCGACTGCGACTGGACGCATGGCGAATGATTTCTCGATCGTACGCCGAGACGTACTAGGGCTTGCAGAAGAGGCAGTCAGCATATGGCCGCATCATCTTGACCACCGTCGCCATAGCAAGGTCAGCGACGTAGAGCAAAGTTACTTCATCCATGAAATCCACAAAGGTATCGAAGATGCGCTTCACTGTCATAATCCAGTGCCGCACGTAATGGTCAGTCTATACATTACCACCAAATACAAAGCAAGAAACTGACACCAGTGACAGTGAGGGCGATGAGGATGGACCTTATGATGATTGGAGTAAAGTAACTCGACATCCGGGTTCTATCTACAGTCGACTGTTTTGATGTCGCGCAACCGATGTGGAAGTACAGAACACACCCAGCCATGAGCAAGAAGAGGCCATAAAGCAAGCTCTCGATGGCTATGGTGGCCGAATTGACGCTGATAAGGGGGAGCTGCGCCATTTCTCGAAACCGCCGGTGGGTGTGCTGAGACGCCTGGGAGCTTTGTGGGGCCGAAATTAGAAAAGCTAAGGCACATCTGTGATGATGAAAATGGTGTTCCAGAGCTATTTTGCAGATCAGCTCCCTAGACAGTGTTGAGATGTGAACTGTCACAATATTGCTCATAGGATATTCGAAATTCGAAGGACGCGAGCTAGGGACCGGATATGCGAAGGGCTCCACAACAGTGGTGGTCTGGATAGAAGCAAGGTACTCAGTTCATGCTGGTAGCCCACGAGCATCCGCGAGTAGGAAGGTACTTGGGCAAATCCCTAGACATACATACTGACCCGCCTAGGCACGTTTGGCTGCGCGAGCAGATGGATTGCATCTAGAGCCGGATAATTTCTATGCGGATAGCAAATCAAAAGTATCTCACTTTCGCTGGCGGAAGATTGGTGGATGGCAGGGTCACGGGACGTAGTACCAAATAGGGGCTGGAGACAGCCGCAACCTTATTGCAACAAAGAAAGAGAGAAGTGATGCCGTCTGTAACCTGATCGTCGATGGGCTATGCTCCCCTCAGTGCTGGTCCCTGGGTGCTACAGTAAGCAGACCTCCACAAAGAGGAAATACAAGTAGTATGGTTCGTAACACCATAACCTCACCTAATTACAGGTCTGTAAATTTGATGGGACTCAAGATTTAACAGGTGGAGATGGCCTATATGTTCAAAACATGCTTTACATGATTGCACCGTTCATCATGCAAAAATTTGCACGCTGCGTACCGGTCAACTTAGAGGAGTCCTCCAGCTGTGGTACAGGGTTTGAGATATGATGCTAATTCAGTGAGCGATCTTGAATATAATGCCGACCGCGACACAACCTTAGCAGCAATCGAAAGCACTGAATGCAGCGCTTTATGTCAGCGCGTGAAGAAATTGAAGTTCTAATAGGGATTTATGTCATGTAAATGAAATGAAATCATTGATAGAGAACGAATCGTCGACCTACGAAACCGAGACACGAGTACCAATCTGTTGGGGGGAGGGGGGGTGCAATATGGCGCATGCTACTGCAATGCGGCTGTAAGTGATCGTGCACAGCATGCATGGAAGCTGGTAGAAAGAGCAGCCTCGAGAACACAGTAGGTTCGGAAGGCTATGACTTCAAGGGATTGACATGGATATCTTGGATGTTTCAGTTCCGACTGAGCGGCTATGATGGCTTCAAACTCACCATCAGCCATGTGTAAAGCCTACTAAATTGACCGACGAAGCAGTTAAGGGAGTAGTGGATATGGAGAGCTACCAGGCAATAACGTAACAGAAGGGATATTGCAACGCGAGACAGGCAGCAGGCAGGCACCTGCAATTCTTGTCAAGTCGTATGCCTAAGAGTTCACGAAAGACTTTGTAGTTAGCACTTCATCTCCTCACACAGAAAGTAGATCAGATACCTCAATCGGCGATAGGGAGTAAACGTGCCAAAGCGTACCTCGGCTATGATGATCAGAGACGAGTCCCTCGTCTCAAAAGTACGTAGCATCAAAACGTCTAGACCAGGGACATGCAATGCAAATAATGTACAGCAACAAGTTATCAGATATCCACGTCTGCATATCAAGCTGTCGGACGACCAGCTCGACGGTCTGCCTTCCTCTGTTCAATCTGAAGCAGCGGCTATCAGCGGCGAAAATCACAATATTTGTGACAAGACATTGAGAACGCACCCATTCTTTTTTACAATCCCGATACGCCTGAAAGAAATCCAAACATCTGTCTCTGTCATAATCGTTTCGATTCAAACAGTCCATGGAAGCTTTTGCTGCGCCTTCACATGGACTAGAGGCCACGCGTGATTCATTAGTCTGGATCTGCACTCAATAGGGCGAGACGCACTCAATAAATTTCGAGGTTACATGTCGACCCTGTTGGTTCAACGTTGAGATAGCCAGGGGTGGTACAAACATGGTTCACAAACAAGAGGCGTACCTGGAACTTGTCGCGGTAATTATCGGGCTTGACATTGTCCTGAGGGTCTGGCAAAGGGGTCGGGGTTGTTCTGTTATTTTCAGAGGCGGCCACGGCCATCTTGTCAGAAATTCCAGGAGTAGAGAGCCCAAAGTACGTTGTGTTTGTGGTAGACCAGTCTTCAAAGTTCAGGAATCAAGTCGTAGTGACGTGATGGTTTCACGTGGTCAAGAACTCAAGCGATCGCCTTCCGTCCTGCAGTTGAGTCCTCCCACTGGGACTACTAGTACCACTCTCCTCGATTTCATAGACTGACTCTTTTCAAAGACTATATCGCTGTTTTGACTCGAAGCAGCTATGCCCACAGAGCTTCCATATGCCGCAGATGCGGAGGTGTCATTATCCTACGACGAACTTGAAGTGCGTATGTCATTCTAGCAGCTCGCCCTGATGTTCTTACCGGATGATATCAGGTCCTACGTCTGCAATATCAGAAAGAACTTTCACAAGCGCATGTTTCAATCCAAACAAAATTTAACTATGCCTGGGGTCTGGTCAAGAGCCCGATGCGCGAGCACCAGGTAGAAGGGGTACGGTTACTGCAAGGTTCGATCAACCTGGTCTGCCCCTTAGTGTACATCCTCGACTGACGAGTACTTGGGACAAATGTTGAACTCAACAACAGATATATATCGCTCGGAGCCGACACGACGACGCGAATGCTTATATTACCTTGCCCTTGGACACTACAAGATGAGCAACTATGAGGAGGCAAAGAAGTTTAATTGTATGTTTTATTTACTACTTGAACTACAACCGCTGACTTAAACATGAATGGACAATACGTCTTATCACGTACCATTTGAATTATGTCCTATTAGCATTACTCTTAGAGAAGGAGCCCACAAATCTCCAAGCACAGAGTCTTGGTTCACTTATCGAGCAGCGGGTTACAAGAGGTCTGTTCTCTATCTTACGCTTCGGTTTAAATTCTTATTCAGTTCACTGCATCCGTGCGACTTATAATTATAGATGGGTACATCGGCATGGCCATTGCTGGCGGGGCTGCTGCTATTGGCACGATCCTTCTTGCATCCCTTGTACGACGGGCAGCACGAAAATAGTTGACATTCGTTGTCTGACGTCGCTTTCTTTATGGTATATCGCCCAATATCTGAATTTCGTTTAATCTCCGCATATTCTCGCTTGACGACCCGCCAACGGCTGATCATTTGTATGGCCCCCTTGTTGTATACGACCCATTCACGACTTCTCATGTTTAGGACAAAGTGAAATATTTACGCAACCTCCGTTCGTCTATCTGAACTGCTTTCCTTGTATGTGGTGAATGTTTACCCACATGAGTACAAATCTTCTCTAATGTAATAGCTTATACACATTGTGACTTACCGATATAAGAGCTTTGGCGAGTGAACGCCCAAGGTCGATTAAATTTAGACTTGGTCGTCCAGCGCCCTCTCCGTGTGAGATAAGTACTGCCTGAGACCAATCGATCATTCAAGTAAGTGTAATGTACACCCCAAAACCCAGCATGGGCACAGTCCGTGAATGCATTGCCGGAGAAAAATGCAGGACATAAGTTACGTAGTATGTATACAGACTTTCCTTTGCGCGTAAATTCGTCAGCGCTAATGTAAACCACGGACGACTGGTATCCTAATCTCTATGTAGGCAAGAATTGTGCTGCAACGACCGGCAATTAATAACTGAGTCCACCCAAAAAAAAAGATACGAAAAGTACTCACCAGCCTGTTCGTACATCTCCTGGTCTGTAAGCCTGAATGCAACAATGCCGATAAACACGAAACCAATGAGGACGCCGATCTCGAACAAGATCCACAGCGCCGCCCACACTGCGTATGCGATACGGTTCTTATCAGTCGCTTTGCCATACTTGAGCTGTGCTGTAAAGAAGTTGGCGCACAGGAGATACCACTCACAATGGGCTTCAACACGGGGGTACAACATTGCGAATTGGCTCGCGTCAGAATCATTTGCTTTCCGGAAATACTTATCATCCGCAATGTCCCCTGAGGAGTATGTCAGTCCCGGGTGCTCCAGCAAGCATTCACAACAGATTGGTAAGCGTACAAACGACATAAAATACACTGAATGATAGGAAGAGTAAGACGGACGATTGGAATTAGAAATCGGACGATACTAACTTCATAACTCCAACGAGAAGGCAGTACCAACGCAGCGCTTGCCTGGGATGCAAATGACCTCTGTTGAACAGAGCAATGTGACGCGGTACATACCCGTGATCTATGAACCAAAACCCGACTAGAATGCCTTCGTATATGATTGTTAGCAGGATTGTCCTAGTAGTACATGACGTTCAGACAGCGATGAGCGAGTAACATGAGCGAGAGGATCAATATACGCACAGCTTGTTGCGAACCAATACTAGCGGGGCAATCAATCCGAGCCCCAGGAAAAAGCTCACTATCTTGGCCATGAGGATGTCAAACCCGGCCAAGACGAATATACCGCCGAAGATCGTTGAGCCAAAGTATCCTGCCACAAGTATGCATAGAGGTTTTCCACCCTTGACTTCGGTTGCGCCCCCTCGATCAGGGTCAATGGTCACCTGTTCAACCTTGCCCCCTGTGAAGACCGCCTGAAACGGAGTCATCATCAGCACGAATGTGGGCGGAGGGGTAAAGATGCCTACCGCAACAATGTGACAGAATTCGTGTAAGCCAATCGTAAAGAGCTTGAGGGGATTGATGAGTAGCCGTACTCCAGGTATCACCCACAAAGCAAATATGACAACTGTGTACACAACAATCTAGGAAAGAGCAACATCGAAGAAGCAGGAGTCAGTATCAAGTCAGAATCACGTAACACTAGATAAGAGACATACGACGTATAGGACAGGAACCTGTCGGGGGGGGAGGGGCAAGTATCGTGAGTGATTCAGTGCCAATAAAGACCCACGACGAGCACTACGGCCCTACCTGTTCACTGGTAGGTGTGATCGGAGCCATTAATACCCAGAGGCACTGCCTGGTGTAGAGAGCTCGATAAAACCGAGTCAAGGTTGAGGCAAAAAGTCTGGGATACTGGGAGACAAGCAGTGGAGAGTAGCCGTGAGTGAGAGCTGAGCTGATAGCAAGCCAACCTTGGACCTCGTGGAATGCATTTTCAAGGCTTCCTCCGCAGGTGCATTGTCCTCGTGTCCACAGCGCTCACAAGCCACAAACTTCCCGAACAGGGGCCTTCGAAAACTCTGGCATAAGCTGCTTTGAACAAAGCACAGTCTGGGTTATATTTGCACGCCGGTGTGAAAGAAAGACCTGCTAGTAATGCCACATGCCATAAATATTACTCGCAAAGGATACTAGTAATGAATCGGAGCATACAGCTTGCTTTTGTGGCCGTAAATTCAATAAGGTGAACGACATGAGTAGGGCTGTCTGCATACATCCCAAATCAAAGGGGAACGATCCTTGGACTGTAAGATTGTCGTGAATCCGGCGTCCGCACGCTAAACTCGCGCTAAACTGGGCAGACGTGGCCACTAGTGCCAGTGGCAATACGCGTCAGTCACGTGCAGGCGCGCGACTTGTTGACTGCACTTGTCGGAGTTTCAAGCCCGCGGCGCGCTATATAAGCTCTAGCCACCTTCGCGTCCTGCTATAAGCCCTCCTCTCCGTTTTCCATCACCACTGCTAAAGCATCTTTTCTCTGTTATACATCAGCACAAAAATGGTATGCATATCACCTACCGTAAGTAAATGCATAGGCTCATCTTATCCATTCTGCAGTCTGGAAAAGGAAAAGCGTGCGTTCAGCCTTTCAGGCTGCGTAAGAAGGCCAAAAACTGATTGTGGACCGCATTTCAGTGGGAAATCCTCGTCTGGGAAGTCCGGTGCTGAAGCTGGAAAGTCCCAGTCGCGTTCGGCAAAGGCGGGCCTCCAGTTCCCTGTTGGCCGTGTGCACCGACTTTTGAAGAAGGGCAACTATGCACAGCGTGTTGGTGCTGGCGCTCCTGGTGAGTCTGCTTTCTGCGGCAAATTATGCCATCGCTTATTCGGTCGTAGTGTATCTTGCAGCAGTTCTCGAATACCTCGCTGCTGAAATCCTTGAGTTGGCTGGGAATGCGGCTCGTGATAACAAGAAACAACGTATTGTTCCTCGTCATCTTCAACTTGCCATTCGAAATGATGAAGAGTATGCTCGGAAACTATCATTTTGTTTCGTTTTGCTTATTTCTTATTGTATTTAGGTTGAACAAGCTTCTTGGTGATGTTGTTATCAGTCAGGGCGGTGTTGTACCATTCATTCTTCCGGAACTCCTCCCATCAAAATCCAATAAGGGCAAGAAGGAAGGCGCATCGCAGGAGGTGTAGATCCTGTCGGACATTATGTTTATCATGTAGGGTTGTATGTCTGTATTAGTTCTGTCTTGTGCTTCCTAATCTACATGTGTATTAGTATGATGTCCTGGGCATTTTGTTCTTGCAGTTGAACAATGAAGTTTAACTTCGGTGCTCAATTTTTTCGAGTGCCTGCGAAGTTGTACCAATGATATCACTGAGCTAGTCCGCACCGGGGATCTAGTTTCGGCTGGGTGATGGTACGGACGGTATCATGCTATCTCGTACTATCGGCTACCGTTAATCCTTCTCCGGATGCGTTTTAAAGCTTGTGAGCTGATGAGTACTAGGATTGACATGTTTAGTTGTTATTATGTGTCATTGAATAAAATCCTGATCAGGCTGGACAAAGAAAGGGTACACCAATCAGCTTTTTTTTTCGCACCGGTGTGCAGATTGGCAACAGATTTGCGAGATTGGAAATAAAGAAGATTGTAGCAAAGCTTACATATCAGGCATAACGGAATAATATGATAGTACCAGCTCATGAACGAGTCATAAAATGCATAGCAACACTTCATGGCAGTGTATGGTCTCTCTGAGACCATGGATTTACACCAACACCTTGGTCAACAAACCCAGCCTTCACCGCTCAAAAACTTCATCTTCCGCATCACTCGCCACCGTCCTTCTGGAGAACTCAGATACTCGACTAATGCTGGACCGTTTGCTGTGGCCACCGCCATAAGTTCGCGATCCCACACGGGATAATCCACCGTTGGCCCCTACACCAGGCGACCCGGGACGAGATCCTCCCGGCTTGTCAAATTTATTCACCATGTTGCTCACCGAACCGCTTCCTGAGACTCGAGGAGTCCGTGCCAACCGCGGGCCGCGGAGACGTGGGTCATTAGCGGGGCTCGTCACAGACGGCACCGCACCTGTGATCGGCTTTATAGGCGACGGGCTACGAGAGCCTACAGACTCGTACGAGGAGACACGGGGAGAGGCTGAACGGGCATTGACACTCTCAGGACGGAGGATGGGGGGAACAATTGTTGAAGGAGGTGAGCCAGGCTCCAAAGGCGGCTCCTTGAATGAAGGCATTGGCAGCTCAGGTGAGGTAGGCTCCGGGGGAGGAGCATTGAACGTTGGTACTGGTATAGTGGGCGAAGGGGAAGCAATTGCTGGAGGAGGCTCCCTGAAGACTGGACGCGGCGGAAGATCATCGGTCTCCGGCGGAGGCTCCTTGAATACCGGATGAGAAGGTACTGTAGAGGCCTCGAGAGGCGGCGGGGGAGGAATTGCAGCGAAATCAGTCAGACCTGCTTGCACAGGAGTAGACTCAAGAACGATGGTCCTGTTATCGTGAACGACGATATCACCTGGAGCCGGAGGCAGGGGCGGAGGAATTGAAGGAAGCTCCTCAGGTTCTGCGATAACCGTTGACGCTGGTGCAGAGTCGGACAAAATAGGCTCAGCATTCGGACTGCCAGGGATATCGTTCAAATGAGCAACGGGGGCATTGGGAAGTGGAGGAGAGTGACGAGGAAGTTTCACTCCCGTGCGTTGTTCAAACTGCTGCGACTGAAGCTCTCGCAGATCTGCCCCTGCAGAGATGCGACTACGACTCATACGCATATCGACGGGTCGCGTACGACGACGCACAGGAGCCTTACGCTGAGACTCTCGCTTCTTCTTCTCCAGGGTAGGTGGTAGGATTGACTCGTAATTGTTCAAAAGATCAATAAACAGGACTAAAACGTGCAGAGATCAGCTCGAGATAACTAGGATGTGTTCGGGCATCTCACGTGTCGGATGGCGGTCTTGGATGGAAAATTCGTTCTCTTGCTTAGGTCGGAGAATGACTATAAATTACAGCCAATTAGCGTACCTAACATCAATAAGAGCCTTGACTCACTTCTGCCCATGGACAGGGCAAGCTTAGTAATATATACTTCACTCGTTTCCTCGCTCTCAGCTCCAGCAGTTGATGCAATCATCCTTGGCAGTGAGATCAGTATAAATACACAGATAACCGGAAGCAACTAACCTCTTGAGGTGTTTCACAATAGCGTCAAGCACTAAAAGATGAACCCTGGGCAATTTTTGCAAGGCAGCTTGCACATCCTGGATGTGCAGCTCCTCCGAACGAGCCTCCTCTCCTTTCGCACTAGAACCCACTGCAGGACTTGATTATTCGACTGTCTTCCGATACTATTTTGATGACACACCTGTGGGGTATAGCCTGCGCATCTCATCCCAACCCTCATACATACCAATCGGCGGGTCCAATTCAAGCGCCCACAATTTGACCGCACCGGCCAGGACAGGAGCGTCATACTTGGCGAAGATATCGTTGGGAAGGGACTGCTCGGGCGGTATGGCGTTAAGAGACTCCCGAAGGTGATGTACGGAGGCAAGCGGTACATCATAAATCCAAGTCTTGCGTCTATCTGCGCGTCATTTTCATTAGTAAGCCATTTCGATGGGGCACCGGAAAGATCTACCTGCATCAGTGGGCAGCTTGGCATATGCCTCATCAACAGCCACAAGCAGCATAGTCAGGACGGGTGGAATGTCGTCCTTCTTTTCTTCCGTATCCGAATGATGCCACATGCCGCTGTCAGCCCATCGGCGCAAGTCGATTCCAAAAACGACATCAGATTCGTCATGAGTAACAGACTCGTACACCTGTGGCTCAGGACGGAAAGGACCTGTACGGTGCCGCTCGATGAAGATCTTGAGATCGGCTTCTGGATGGTAAGAGTCGATCAACGTCTCGGAGCGCTGGACTGAGGGATCATACGCCTTCGATAGTTTTGACACGACCACATGGTACTGACGAAGAACTGTACAGACTGAGTAAGGCATTCTGTTCGCTGGAAGCTACTCTTACCCGTCTTGACCGCCCGTAGCCTGTCTAATTCCCACCTCTGCAACATCTTCAGAGTCTCTTCAACTCTTTCCTCAAGGGCGAGACGCTGTCTATCGAGTTTGCGTACGGCTACACGATATTCCCTGTCCGCAACTTCCGCATCCCGGCGAGCGCGAATGTGAGCGGGCTCCGCCTGGCCGTTTGCGTTAAGCGCCTTAGTTACGAGTGATGCGAAGGTATTGGTAGTCTTGGCGACGTTCTCTGCAAGAGGTGATAGGTTCTTCTGGATGGGTGAAGCAACCGGATCTGGCTTGGTGGAAACTGCATCCAAGGTGAAGGCCTATACGGACAAAATCACGTTGTAGAGAGACGCCTATTGCAGGATAGACTCTACGTACCTTCGGTCTGAATTGATAATACGCATCTGCCGCATTCTCATAATCATTTCCAAGTTGGCCAATCCTCCGGAGTAAATCGTGCTTTTCAGTCAGCTCTCGTGCCGCAAAAGCGGCGCGGTCCAAATTTTCTTCGTATTCCTTCACCTTCTCCTTGAGCCAAGTAGCAAACTCCTCGCCGCTGAAGCATTCTTGATACTCTCCGAGAAGAGGGAAGCGCACGGATCGTAGCGGCAATTCACCCTTGGCACGCTTAAGCAGGTTGGACAGCTGCATTGGAGTGAAGGCGACCCCGGCAAGGATGATCGGCGGTGCCATTGAAGGAGGCACTAGATTGGTGTCCAGCTGGGCGGGGGGCAACGGAGGAGACAACGGGGGAGGCGACGCAACCTGGGGCGGTGTCATTACATCCTCAGTAGCCCTCCCTTTACCCTTGTCAAATTTGGGCACTTCCTTTTCTTCAATGTCCGCATCAAAGTGAACTTCAGGAGTCTGGTCGACGCTCTGGGCAGTACCAGTACCGAGCCGGAATTCCTTGAAGCGTTGCGAGATGCGCTCAGACACGGTTCCCGAACGCACCGGAGTGCGTTTGTCCCGGGGCTGCATGTTTGGGGAAGTGGTGAATCTGTCTCCAACTGAGGGTGGGATGGGAGCAAATCGTGCACTGAAAACAAAACCAGATTAGTCCCATGTAGACATATCCACAGCCATACATACTCATCCTCTGCTTCGTCAGCTCGCCGTATCTTCGAGAGATAATCATTTTTCAATTTAGCGACACCAACCTGGGCTGATTCGTAGGCAGCCATCCAACCATCAAGCACATTGTGCTTGCTGCCTTTGAGCCTTTCCTGCATAAAAGTTGAGCAGCCTACACAAGCATTGGGATACGATATACTTGCCTTGTAGCCAACGGCCCATTTCTCGAACGGAGTAGCTACAGAATCTCGAAGTTCCTGCGCAACTGCCTCGTGAACCTTGCCCTGCTCGGTGGATTCTTCCTTTAATCCTCGAAATGCCACATGAAGTGACGCCCCTTCGTCATGGGAAAATGCCTTCCCTGTGTGTTGAAGTGAACAAAGGTACTTCACAGAGCTTTGAATGCCTACCTGCAGGTGCAGAGGCAGACAGGGACTCCGCGAGAGCACTTTCGGCAATAGCCCTTGCCTATCGCTAGAGTTAACAACCGGCTCGCTCGTATGATCGCTGGTTGTGCGTACCCGAATGAATGCAACGATCTCATCATCCTCAAGAACGCCCTACAACAGTGCTATGAGCGAAGAATGCTAGAATAGAATAAATATTCATACACTCTCCAACTGTTTATACAACACCTCCAGACCCCTCCGGTAATCTTGCGACCAGAATGAATTCTGGAACGTAAGCGGCAGAGACAAGACTGCCATTGTAGACAACAGACTGGCCAGTCAACGTTTCAACAGCAGTGGCTGCAAAGTTTATGCGCTCGTGCGGAGTGTTGGTAAAGAGCTGTAATCGAGCTGAGAGGTAGCTCAAACCTGGACGCACACCAGGCGGGTACAGGCAGACAACAACGTGCGGCTGCGGGTCTTGCGCTCAGCAGCGTGGGGACGTGTGTCGTGTACAGGGGTGCTTTATTTGCGTGTCGCCCTTGGTGGCAGTGTCGATTATGCGCGGTGATGGCTGCACGCACCGCTGAAACGAGCGCTCGCGATTGTCCGACGGCTTTGTCGATGCATCGAGCCCCCAGGGGCACCTCGGGAACAGCCACTGCACTGGACAAGATACTTACTCGCTGCGAACGCGAGGCAGCAGTTGAGGCAGAATCGCAAGGCGAAAACTAGCATGAGATATTAAGAACGTTGCATTATAATACGACCTCTAGATCCTCCTCCTCGATAGCCTGCGACCGCCTGCCTGGGTTCCGCTGGCCTGTACGGCCTGCACTACCATATAGTACTTCTGAGTCGCCCATCTCTCCCGCTAAATACTTCCCTTCCGTGCCGTTTGCTTCGAAAACGTTGCCACGCCCACCAGCAAACGTCGATGTCGGTAGCTGTACCAAATGTGACGGCTGCCGTATCAGGTACAGTCGATGTAGAGAGTCCTCCGCAGCCTAGAATTAGTATTCAACGTCAGGATCGTGGAACATATGCATGCGGGAATGTTGCGCACGCGGTACTCAGCCATCTTGAGTGAGGTGCCGAATCCCTCGCCCAGCTTGTCCGCGCCTGAGTATATACCCACAACGAATACAGGAGAATTGGAGAATCGACCTGTCTCCTTCAACAACCTGTAACATGAACGAACATTGAAGGTGCGGTTGTTGGCAGATGAACCGTACACACCTTGAAATTGGGCGTTCACGTCCGAATTTCGCAACAGTCTCTGCCAGCGCGGCTTTGGGATCTCGGAATTTGATCATGTTACGCACGTCTACTTCGCGGCTTAGGAAAAACTTGTGCACAAATTTGCGGGCTGACAACAATGATCGATGTTGGTATACCAACGCGGTCAACGCACGAGGCACGGAACTGAGTGCATCTGGGTGCAGCACAGCAGGACTTGTTGGTGTAGTAGGCTGTAAAAATGATAAGTGCAGGCGTGCCAGAGCAATGAAAAACACGCACAGTCCTGTTCCATCTCAAGAGAGGTGTCACACCCATCTCTTTGGCAATCCCCACACAGGTCGTCGGACCAACGTATGCACTTACAGCAGCCTTCATAACACGCGTTGGAAGATGCGGATATGAAGCGTTCACATATTCCGTAGCAAAGAGACCCAGTAGCGAATTACCCAGTACCGCAAGATTCGCATTCGTGGCAGGTAGAGGCTTGTCCGGATAGTGGTGCGAGTATAGCGGTACGAAGGATGGGTGAGTGCATGCTCGCTGAATGTCGACGATAGACGTCAGAATGTTTCCAAGGCCTATTCGATGAGCAAATGCAGTGAAGGAGGTTGGCGGTGGCGGTTGCAAGGAAGCCCACGTCTGAGCATCGAAGAAGTGTTTTTGGGATGAGCTGGATGAGCTGGCGACAGCTTCTTTTGGAGGAAATACGCGGACATGAGATGGAGACACAGAGGCTAATTTGGCAGCGGTCGATGCTAGACGTTTTTGTGCATAGCCCATTGGCGAGATTGTCGTCCGCCAGCGTGCGCTCACCACTATAGTAGTCGCGACCGCGAACACGACGAAAACTGATGACCAAATAGGAAATAGGCGCCTAGACGCCTAGACGCGTGTTAAGCGCCGTCCACTCTCGTCATGTTGTCTGTAACAGCAGGATTGCTTCGAGTTTTAAGCATGATTCACACGCGCGCACAGCAGTCAATGGCCTGCTAGCTAGGGCAAGGGCAATTTGGAATCGGTCCGCAATTTATCGAAAATCAGCAAGGTCAAGCTTCTATACTGTAACTGACCCATGTAAATTACTGCAAATTAACCGCCAATGATGGCGCGCTAATTGACGCTAACTAACGAGTCAATTTAGTCAATTCCGAGTCCACTATGTAATTTACAGCCCCATTGCTGCTTGTATGTGCTCCTAATATTATCCCCAGTTGTCAATTTATTGTATTCTCAGCTCCCACATCTGTGACCCAGCCTTCATCTAAAAAGAACTGAGTGAAATCACATGTAGATTCATCGGGGGATTCATGGGGGAGAATAAGCAAGAGCCTATTCTGTAACTTGAAGTATAGCTGTAAAAGAGAAATGCTTTCGAGACCTCTCACTTCAAGAACTTTCAAGTGTAGCTCTGGGTTGATGGGTGCTGCAGTATACCTCTGGTAAGGAAGGCTAAAGCAGGCTTATCATTGACTTTCCAGCTAGATCATGCAGTCTCACGCTGATACGGGCGCTCATTCCAGATCATTGAGCTTAAATTTTTATTTTCGCAAATCTAATTGGTGTGGGGCCGACGCGCTACAAGTTCTCAAACCTACCGCGCCCGGTAGGTTCATCTGAAATGGCAAGGCTAAAGCAGGCTTATTGTTGCGAGGCAGTCCGGGAAAGGACAAGCCGAGAGCATGTGATGTGT